AGCTTTAACTTGTTGTTAAACAAATGTTTAAAACAACTCTAATTATTCAACGTTTCTAAAGTTTCATTTTTCTTTACTTTCTAAGAAAATGACATAAAAAACATTCAGGGATGTTACAAAGTAAAACTGAGACATATTTAGGTGAAAACAAATTCGTGGCTTCAAATCATCGACCTGTAACACCACGTTTCACAAAATTTCCCTTCATTATATACACATAGATTAATGCAGCATTGCACACACACGAAGGACACTTTTAGAAAAGTGAATCTACATAAAGTAAAAGTGATTGTTCTGGGACTCAGTGTTACTGATTAATGAATTGTAGCCACAAGTGTGATTATATATCTAAATAAGGCATACGAAACTCCTTCTTGATTGGTAGTCCATTAAACTAAACACATGAAAACACCGTTAGAACTATACACAATCTTTCAGAAACAGAAGCATTTTCAAATAAACGTATTTGTTTATTTACCTCTCGGAATTTTCGCGCAAAGTTACACAAAGGTCTATCCGCGTATAGCTGTTCCTAATTTTGAATTGGTAGACTAGAAGAAAAGCTAGTCAACAGCATCCACTACCAACTCTTGGGCTTCTTTTACTTGATAGAATAATTGGAGTTGACTGTCACTCTTATAACGCTTCGAAGTGGGAAACGCGTTTTTAGAGTTAATGATCCTAAGCCGACCCAAAACGTGTTCATATAATTTTCATACACCCATTTTTGTATCAAATTATCACAGCGTTGTTCTTTATCAAATTCACCCACACGTTAAGAAAGCTATTTAATAATGAAACCTATAAAATAAATGTCGAGACCTGTTTTTTTAATCACAGAGAAACTTAATATGAGATGTTACCTTTGGATAAACGTTGACCTACCAATCAAATCAAACATCTTGTTTATTTGTTCTTCCTGTTTTTGCTAATTGCTAATTTTAACTCTGAATATTTGAATCTTTAGTTGTAGCTCAACTTAACTCGCACCATTCTTAGTATATGATCATTATATGAAAGCGCAGAAAGTGGTGCTCTGGAAAATCTGACTGCTTGCCAGAAGAAGCTTCATCGGAAGTTTGATCAGTATTACTTGGAAAAGAAATATTCCCAGCCCGACTTGGTTATTTGAAATGTTGAAAAATATAACTTTTAAACTGAGTAACGATGATATGAGTGTAATGGCTTGAATAACTTACAGAACTTTCTGCGAAATGTGACAAAAAAAAAGAAAAAGAAAATGGAAGCTAATTTTAGATCTTGCATTGATTACATAGTGTGCCCACTTTTACGAATTCCGTGAACAATAAAATTTGACTGACTAAAAAATACAATAAACAATGACTGAAATATAATAAAAGTTTCGATGTGTTTCATTAAATTGCGTATTTCATTATATTTCCTTGACATATGTAGGCTTAAAGCAGTAAGTAAGTTCCTGGACTTGTAATGATAAAAATACGATGTTCGATTCCCTGTAGCGGACAGAGTTTAGATAGCCCAATGTATGGCTTTTTGCTAAAACAAACAGGCTTAAAGCTAGCATTTTCTGTACTTTATGCCATCTTTAACAAACACACACACAAAAAGGAAAATAATTAAAAAAGAACAAAATACAAACAATTCCTACAGAACACACATAAGAGAATACACAGAATAACTAATTTTCTTTCATTAAGATTCTGTAAAGTTCCAACTAATAGCATGCTTTCATACATAAGTAATAATTACGAAGCGGGTATTGCACTTTTGGCCTTTGTTAAGAGAATCACGAAGTTATACACAATTATTCGAAAAGTAACAATAATGGCCCTTGAAACAGAATACAAGAAATCGCACATATATAAAAAAAATCTAAATTATTAATATGTTTAAAGTTATTATTTATAAATAAGGACATCGTTCTCAAAAGGAAAAAAAAATAAGTGCTGTTCTATTGATGATAAGAAATACTTAACATAACACAGAATGATTAGTGAGCTATAAGCTGTGTACTTTTATGCAGCGAACAATCATTTAAAATTGTCATTCATTGCTAGCATGAAGAAACTGTACATCAAATTAATCGTACGAAAGTACAAACTCCATACAATTGCTTCACCGGGTCGTTAACTTGAGCCGATATACCTTTAAACGCCATGATAATAATAAACATAGGAATAGATTTATAAACACATGACGAATGATAACAAAGCATATGCTATACATAGAGGCCAGTATTGGCTTGTAAAACTAACTTTTACTGGTAAAAATACTTTGTGCCATAGTTTAAGCACATAGGAACTCTGACACTTTTGTCTTTAACAAAACAGACCCTTATCATTTAGACACAATCTTTGTTAACTTTCAACAAATACACAAGTTAATGGTAAAACTTGTTCGACTGACTTTTTACAATACTTACCATGTATAATTTTGTACGTGCAGCAATTAAATGGGTGCATTTAAACATTTAACGTCATTTAGTGGAGTAATCCATAACATTGAAATATAAGTGAGTCGTTTAAGCTTTCCAGAAAATGCACTTTATCATGAAATTTTAAATTGTTATCTACAAGTACGAAACACGCTTACAGCACAACGAATACACGCTTAAAGTCGTTATCAGTTTAGGTTGCCTAAATTATCAGTATTCCTATAGTAAAGTAAGGCAGGTAAATAGCTTTCCAGACTTTAACTCTCACTATCGAGGGTATGTTTTTTATAATTGTTCCTTGAATTCAGTAACCCATTCTAAAACGATGGTTAGATCATTATATAAGAACCATGTTTAGTCTAGAGTTTAGACTTTAAATCCTCTGTCGTTATACTATTTAATACGATAAAATAATACCTTCATTGATAAAACGTACCTAAATGTTTTTATACATACGATTTCTGTAGAAAACAAAACAAAACCAATGTTGTATTGTAGAAGCAGATAATTTACAATCCTTTGTTCTATCAGGATAGATCTGAGCGACACCAGATCGTTATGCATATATGCAGTCCTAATGAAATTGATTAGATATGAAAGGTAGAAGTCAAACCCTGAGTCACCAAGAACGTAATTACATGCAAGTTGTTGATGACACTTTTCCTACAACTCTAATGCCATTCTTAAGACCTCGATATTCTAACTTCACACACCTGTCTCGTCAAATGTTCTTGTCCATGTGTTACATGTATATATATCAGAGTCTTGGCTTTAATGGATTTCTCCCACCTGTTTCTAGAGTGGAACGGAATTTCGGTTCCTATACTGAGGCCTTCTTCAGGTTGACTTAAAGTATAGAAGCCGGAACGTTATTTCACTTTAGAAACTGGCAGGGGCAGTTCGTTAAAACCAAACCTCTACTATTTCTCCAAGGCCTAAATTACCCTTGTTACAACATGTTTTCATAACTGGAACTTTCAACTAGGTGCTCCTCGTATCAAATCAATTTCGGTTGCGTTTTTTACACATCTATGGAAATTTCTCGTTTTTTGAAAGATATTACGAAATTTTTCAATTTTCTTTAACCTTATTTAGCAATATTACATTTCATATATCAATAAGTTTCTGGTGAATATGCAATTCAACTAAATACAAAATTGCAAAGTAATGTAGATAAAATGGCTGATGGTAATGACGTCAAGATGAAAGCAGCCAATAACGTATAATAAAGTACTCGTTATACACAAAGGAATCCTACATAATATATGCGTCCTATTAATGAAAATCTTAACTTTCACATCACTGTATGAATACGTATCTTCGTATCTTGCTGTTTTTAATCCCACTTTCTTGTTTTGCTAATGGTCTATTTCTGACACGCAATGCACTATTTTAAATATATCTACTGTAATAAAGGTATTGAACTATAGTACAGTTCAACATAGTACAGTAGCTTATTGCTATATCTCATTCAAAGCGTCACGAGAACATTTATAAATTTGTTTTACTTTGATTCGTACTGGGTCAAATAGCAGTCAAGTTTTTCGTTTTAACAGACATGTGTGGCCGAAATATGAACTACAGGCCACCTACTTATGAGCAGACAATCGACCGTAAAGGGCATTTTTGGGTTTGAACAATCAAGCGTCTGGTATAAAGGTATGCAAAATAGCAGTGAACATTCTTGAAAAATAGTTCTAGCTTTTTATCATAATATGTACTCTAGGATGTTTTCACCCAAACTTGAACAAGCAATCACTTCTGTGACGTAATGATGCTTGATGGCCTATATATATATATATTATAAATTGTAATGAATGAGTATATATATATATATATTATGCTAATTTTTCACAGATGATACATACATATCTATATACATAAAAATGTCAATAGCAGATTCGCTGGAAACAGTCAGAGAGGCTTATTAACTACACAGTACTTGGTAAATAACTGTTTGCTTGTTTAACTGTTTCTCCAAACAAATAACTATATTTTCATTCATCAAATAGAATTAAACTGTTAAAAAGAAATCCAGTAGCCATTAGCGCAGTCTTTGATTGGACATGTACATCAAATAAGCTTAAAAGATGATTGAATAATTGTTACTGTTAAGTATATTAAATTTGAAGAATAAGTTAATGAAATGAAACACTCTTCTTATTTAAAAAAAAGTAGTTACTAGAACGATCAAAGTGCTACCTTTTACCATCATATGAAACTACATCATTGCTGAAGTTAGCTATCTGTATTTTGGCTGCCTGGTTGATCAAGTCTTCTTAGTTGCACACGTCATTCCGCTAATTTTACAAAACACTAAAAGAACATTGTTTGCATAAAGCTATATGCGAAAATATCCTACAAGAAATCGGGTTATTTCAGAGTAAAAATCATTCTTTCTTGACTACTGAAGTAAAATAATTTTGTTTGAACAAACTTCGTTGAAGTAATATTCGTTACAATAATTAAAACGGTATCGTTTCAGTGGGTATGGTTTCTTCAGAATTTGATTACACTTCTTAAATTAAATAGTGATTTTAAAAATACAATACATTCTACAAGTGATTTTTAGGAGCTATACAATCATGTGACCTAGAAACCAGAGTATAAAAATCTTTTAGTCAAATGCGGAAGAGGATTTCAGATTTGGTCCCATTCATTTACCTGTATTTAGGGGTTACTTTTTTTAAACGACTAACATATATGAATATTTTAAGTGAAACCATGAAAAATGTATATGACTGCTTTTAAATTTCTGATAACAAGAACTGTCCTTTGAATTCTGAAATTTTAAGTTAAACAAAATCGAAAACACTAAGTTGTGAGACCACTTTTTATCAAAAGTATCGTGACTGTGCAGATAGACAAGGGAACTTCTAAGTTGGATTTACCAATAAGCTTTGAAATCGAAATAAAGTTCCCGATGTGTGAAACTCTTAATTTTTAAAACATGATTGAAAATATTTGATGCAAATGAATATTTCAAGTTTCAAAATGTCATGACACTGCTAAAGTGGCGTTGTCTCCCTCTTCGTTCATTTTTTCTTTCAAACAGTTAGACACTGGACAAGACTGACCGTTTTCGGTAAGAGATTTCATCAGCTCTTCGGCACTTACCGGGGCCAATTTAACGTTAGGGGGAGACAAGGGGGAATAAAGATCAAAATCGTAGAGTGACATGTCTATATCGCCAAAGATTTCATCCCCTGAACTACAGTTAGACGTAGCCCCAGAGCTTGGGCTACAACTCGAGGAAGAAGCTGCGTAAGGCTTGTTCATAGCTGATAGATTGCTCAGTTCTGATGTATTGCATGTGGCAGGAAGGAGTACGTGTAGCGACGTTTCGGAGACACCAGATGATGATTTACTTGGTGAACCTGCATTCTCTACTGCACAGTTAGCCCTGTCCATAAATCTACAATTGTCATCAAATTCTTCTTCTGTTGCTATAGGGCTACTGGCAGCATTGGTTGACGAGGAACTACAGTTAAGTACTGAGCTCCAATTCAAACTGGTCAGTCTGTCACTGTCATCATTCCAAAAGGCACTAGAGTCGCATGCTGTCTTTACAAAAGGAGTTATTCTTCCAGAAGAAGTATCGAACTCTGTTAGATATCTGTCACATTCGTCTGTAGTCTCGTTACAATTTTGCCTCAGTATTACTTCTCCCGTCGTCGTTGTGCACGTCTTGGGCAAGTAGGTGTTCAATAAGGAACTAGCCTGCGGCTTATTACTGAGCTGCTCTTTTGCTTGAGATGGTGGTTTGTATTGGTACGCACTTAACACAGTAGATCTCATAGAGTAATTATCAACTAAATCTGTCTGTGGCGGCGCAGTGATGGAAAGGCATCTTTGGGTAAGCTTTTTTTCCACCTCATGGTTATAATTACTCCCTAGAAGTTCCTGTGGGCATCCTTCTAACGCATTTTGGCTTGTGAGAGGTGGTGGGTCAAGGGTCATGACTTGCGGGTTCAGTGGTGAAAGAAAAAAGTGCCCGTTAGGGGCACAATTAATCTTTACTCCTTCTTGTTCAAACTCTTTTTGAATTTTTCGCAGAGTATTACAGATGAGAACGGATCGTCTTAGACTTAATGTCTGTCTAAGTCTGTTCCGTTTACACAAACTGATGTTGAACACCGCCTGACGCTGATTGAAGTAAAGCGAAGAACGTGTTTCACAGTCTTTATCTTCATCAAATTTGCGTTTAATACCTCGAGCTTGAGACTCACACAACATGGCGTCTACATCTACACTGAGTGTCTGTGCTATCTAAAAGACAAAAAAAATAAAAAAATAAGAGCATTAATAACTTTTCCTTATTGATTTCAAACTATCCACACATGTATAAATATTATATTTAAAAACACTACAACTAACTCATGGCGACATATTGTCGACATACTGTTGGTCATCATTGCAATATCATTAGTTCTAACAGTAAGATACCAAACATGTGATGAAAGTAGAAATTTTGAAACAAATAAAAAGGAAGAACATATTTTGTTAATTTGAAATTGAAAAATATATTTGTTTTCGGCATTTCGTATAATAAGTAAAATGATAAGAATCTACTTTTATATTTTAGTGATTGCTTAGCACACGTAATAAGTATTCAGAAGCATAAATAAGATAATAACAGTTTCCATCTAACCAGTCTAAATATTCACTATTTTGTTAAGATTTAATTTGTAGCCTCCCAGTGGCACGGCGCTAAGTCTGCGGACTTATAACGCTAGAAACCGGGTTTTGTACCCGTGGGCAGAGCACAGATAACCCATTGTTTAGCTACAAACAAACAAATATATCTAAGGACCTTTTGTTCTTCCGTACAAGATTTAAAATAAATATGAGAAGGTAAAACATATTCAGATAATTTCTCTTTATCTTGTATAAACTCTCAAGACTAATGTTATAACTAAGTTAGCGTCAGAATCAAAAACTCAGCTCTTGAATTAAAGTGGAGCATTAGACAAATTAGCGATTTATCTTGAAAATACAGACGATATTTTACGACTTTCTGTTTTGATGGATAAATTTCCAAATGAGAATGTTTGTAATCGAACATTAATTTATATTAAACTCAGTGAGTGTTAAAATACCTCCGTAATAACTTTAAAAATTTTAAGTGTAGGACGTACGAATATCTGAAGCTGAATTTTGGAAAACGTAACTGACCCAAGATCCAAAAAAACAAGAGAGAAATCATAATTTGTATTACCATAGCTATGGCAAAATAAAATCATTTATAGATATGTTTATATGCTTCTTATAAAATATTGTCGCAGTTGTTACTTTGAAGAGAAGCACAAAGTATAAATTCTCCAAATTGTTCTTGAACTCTAATAGCTAGACTTCAAATAATACATCTGAATATACCACTTAATGTTGAAAGCCATCATAGAAGTAGACCAATCACATTAAGCTGTTCCAAGCTGGCTACAAATGTCTCAAAGTATCGTTAGCAGAATGTGGAACCGCTTCCAAACCAATGATACTATTGTTTGAAATCTGTAAAATGCACATTGTCATCCACGACTGTTCTCTATTGATTATGGCTCATGGAGTATCTATTTTGAAACTGAACTAAATGTTTACAGTCTCAAGTGGATGCCGTGTCAATGTACAGTGATAAAAACAATTTCACAAGGTCGGCCAATACGCCAGAAGCCCATTGAGGTACTGTCTGCTCACAGTTAGGCAAAAGAGTGGGATAGTCTTGGGAGATTCCTTGGATGTGTCAAATGACTTCATACACTTTGGATACCCTAGAAACCAGGAGTGTTCAAGAATATCTCAGAATACTCATGGTAACTATACTCCATACTGAAAGTGAAATATCATGAACTGTAAAGACGTAAAACTACCGCTACCAACTATTCACTTATGAAATGAACGATAAACCATTTGAATTTCCCACCACGTGATGGATTATCAGATGCCTGATTTGTATAAAAATAATTTTGTATAGTGAAATCATACGTTGTTAAACAGTGTCAGTGAAGAAGAGTATCACGTTCATGGGATTTGAAGTTACCAATCATAAAACGATTTTTTTCCAATTGTATTTAAACCTGTCAAACAAAGCAATAAGAGGCAGTTGCGTAAATAAAGGTAATACTATGAAACAAATATTACGCATAATACTGTATTCACCCCTACCAATAATGTCACATTTTGATGAAATACAAGTAATGTAACAATTTTTTCTTATGAAGTTGTTTTTATTCAAAACTCTAATGATCAAACTTAACACTGTTATGTGTGAAGGAGGTTGAATGTCAGCAAAAGCTGCAAAGAAAATATGTAAATTGAAATTTGCTGATTGCACAAGTATTCAGCCACTTAATTCAGTACTTGGTGGAAATCATTTTGGATAGGTGTCTACCAGTTTTGCACAATGGGATGGTGGAATTTATGCCCATTCTTCCTAGCAAAATTGCTCCAATTCTGACAAGTTCGTTGGAAATCATTGATGGACTGCAATCTTCAAGTCTCGCCATAAATTTTTCAATTGGATTGAAGTCAGGGCTTTGACTGGGCCACTCCAAAACATCCACTTTCTTCTTTTGAAACCACTCCAGTATGGCTTTGGCCTTGTGGTTTGGGTCATTATCCTGCTGAAATGTGAATTTTCGACCTAGTTTTAGATTTTTGGCTGACTAAGCAGGTTTCCTCTAGGATTCGCCTGTACTTTGCACCATCCATCTTCCCCTCAATCCTGACAAGCTTCCCAGTCCCTGCTGATGAGAAGCATCCCCATAACATGATGCTGCCATTGACAGTTGTGATGGTGTTGACTAGGTGATGTGCTGTGTTGAGTTTGTGCCAGATGTAACGCTTTGAATTTAGATAAAAAACCTCAATTTTTGTCTTGTTTGACCACAAAACAATCTGCCACATGTCTGCAGTATCATTTACATGCTTTGTCGCAAACTCCATACGAGATTTAAGATGATTCTTTTTCGGTAATGGATTCTTTCTTGCCACCCGCCCATACAGGCCAGCTTTGTGTAGGGACCAGGATACTGTCGATGTTTGAACACTGACTCCTATTTCAGACATGGAACTTTGCAAATCTTTCAATGTCACTGTTGGCTTCACAGTGGCATTCCTAACCAGTTTCCTGCTTGCTCAGCTACTTAGTTTGGAAGAGCGGTCTGATCTGGGTAGTGACTGGATGTTATGAAGCACATTCCACTACTTAATGATGGACTTCACCGTATTCAAAGAGATAATCAGCGACTTTGAAATTTTCTTGTAACCTTCTCCTGATCTGTGCTTCTCTATCACTTTATCCCTGACATGTTTGGAAAGCTCCTTGGTCTTCATGGTTGGTTTGTCGTATCACTACGTGAGTTGTGGCTTGAACAGATACATTTACTCTGAAATTAAGTTAAACCCTTTTGATTACACACAGAGATAGACGAGTACACTAAATTTATGATCTTTCAAACTGAACTGATTTAGGGTTGCCGTAGTAAAGGAGTTGAATACTTACACAACTGAGAATATTCTGATTTTCTTTGAAAATCTAATTTACTTACATAATATCAGCGTTTTTTTAGCTTTTTCAGTTTGGAGTAGATTGTGTAGATTCTGAATATGAAGTCCTATTTGAAAGTTTCATGATTGCAAGCTTTGCAGGGGGTGAACTCTTATGGAAGGCACTATATGTTCAAACAGTCTTATATACAGTAAAATGTACAGGGTATAGTAGAGTAAGCACACTCTATATCCCATTTATTATGCTACCTTAACTGCTTTCGAAAATTATTAGAGTTTTATCGTTGGTTAGATTACTGGTCAGATGTACGTTTTTACATGCTAAAATAACCACACTCGTGTCATTGCTCACGCTTCTACCGAATCATTCAAATTAAATAACCCGCCATCTCTGCATCGCCGAAGTAAGTTTAAACATGAAGAACATTTAGTCCACAAAAGTGATGTGTGATGGTGATTAGATACCTTGTACTGTTTCATATTTAATATGTCGTAGTTTAAAATTTGGCCGGTATATTTTTTCATAATTAAAAATTATTTTCGTATGGAGTTGGTTTACGTACACTTTAACCGAGGCTGCACAGATACGAAATTGAAAGTCAGAGTTTCAACTACGTGGAAGTTTCTATAATCTAAGAAAGCAAGGATAAATAAGGAACTGCGGTTAATTAATGGACAACTATGACTGTGTTTTGCAGATCTATTTAGAAATTACTTTCAAATCCGTTTTGCCTAAATTAATAGAGGTACCATGTAATAACGTAGACTTAAAGCGAAACAGTTGGTCTCAAATGTTTGTCCATAGATCTGTTTAATACTGCACTTTCTCGTCAACGTACTAGGCGCATTCGCGATGTTGGCTACGGTGGCCGGCTTCGAGGAAGCATTATGAGAAAAAAAAAATCTATCGATCCGATTTGTAGATACAGAGTAGTATTTCTTAGCGGACGCATTTCCTTACTTAAAAAGCAAAACAAACTGCTATAGTGCTGCATATTCATATGAATACAATAGAAAGAGTTAAGAAACAGACGAAGAAAAACACAAATATACAGTGAGACTGTAAGCGAAAAGTATAAAAACATAGTAACTGAATAACCAGACGAGAGATTCTAAATGTAACGTGAGTCAAAAACATAGTTGGTTGGAAAGATAAATAAAAATTGAGCTTTTACTTGAAAAATGTATTTACCTACATATTGGAATGGTTACAAATGTGCTTGATACAAGACATAACGTAATGGAAACAGTGAGAAAAAAAGGGTATAAAAGGCATATACTGTGGGGAAATGTGCAAAAATGAATTTCGACGGAATACAGTAACGTTCTGGTAGTTTACCAGCAACTGGTTTTTATCAGTTCAATCGGAAAATGCCACAACACTATAAAAGTACGGTCATACCATGTCCAGTAGAAGTAGTGTGAATCCAGTTAATGATTCTAGGGCTGAAGTGCCGTATGAAAAACGTATAGAACAAAGGATACTCTATGCGAAACATTGGGATAATACTCCATGTTTCAGATGAAGCTGTATACAAGACTCTGAAGAGGGTACATGAAATTGGCACTGTTAGTAGTAGTTCTCAAGGTAGAAAAGCGAAACTCTCCAAAAACGATGTTAAGTATCTCTGGGTACATTCTTTACGAGATAGATGATGGTCTAGTATAGATCTTGTTAACAACCTTCCTACAAATACAAGTTGAATGTTACCTCAAGAACAGTACGATAAAAATTAGCACAAAATGGTTTCAAAGGACACGTTCTT